ATTTATACTTATATTTGTATTTATACTCATTCTTACGAGGGTAGCAGTCGCAAGACCTTTGATGAAAACCACTGCGAAACAAAATAGCTGGATTCTTTTTAAAAAAATAGTTGTTTTTTGCTAGGTTTGAAACATTTGCATAACTCTTGATCGGTGGAGACGTCGTGCCACAAGAGTGGTGAAACATTTTTCAGCTGTAAATTCCTAAACTTAAACTTCTAAATTTGTGGTTTTAAAAATATGAGTGGTACGAGGAAGCCCGGTTAAGACAGAGCCACTGACAAATGCGCATAGTATACTACGCACTGTTCCGCCGGTTTGAACGATCTATTACCTTCAACAGTCACGGGAACCTAGGAAACGGTAAGGTCGCGCCGCACCTGGCTTTCCTCATCGCTTTGAAGTTTTAGTTTAAGAGGTTTTAATCACTTTCTGGACTGTCGTATTTTCAGTGTTTTTGAGACAAGAAATTTAGTAAGCTCAAGTGTATTTAAAGTCGACGGCAGTTTTTAGAACAGTTGTGAAAGGAGCGATAAACAGATATGCATCTGCGGAGTTTAAGAGGCCATCTTCTTGTGAGCAGTGGGCGTGCCGTCCCTTATCAAAAAAAAATTTGGCAGAAATTCATTCATAAAAGATGCTCCTTGGATCTCCTTCTAGAGAGTTCAAAGGAAGCAAGGAGATAAAAGCTTGAGTTTTAGGGGGATGTGCGATTTAATATGAGGGATTGGGAATTGCGGCTAGGAAGCAAAGAAAGCCCCAGGACGTGTTATTTCAAGGCCTAGCACCGTTGCACGTTGAAGAGCTTCAGGTTTGAAGCTGAAGACGTTTTAGGTAAACTCGGGTCTAAGCCTAAGCTACTTTGGTAATGAAGAGTCGGGTTTTTTTGTGCTGATTACCAATGTCGTGTAGTAACTACCTGTGGTTCCGGGAAGCCTTGATTTTAAATTACGGCTAGAAATAGCACAGTACTCTCGTAGCCTTACTATTGAAGTGGAGTTTTCTCGGGTTCTCTAAAGAAACTGTCAAATTACCCAAATTTTTGGGGTACGCTCTAAAATCAACAAAAGAAGTCCTTGATGGATCGAGCGGTAGTTTCCAGCGAAAGGTTGCGAATGTAGTGCCTCATATTCCTACCGCCCCTACAAGTAAAGTGTTGTGCGACAAATAGGGCTGTCAGCTCTAAGTAAATGCCACGGGTCTAATATCCGCTGAAGACACAGAAGCAGTAAAACTACTAGTCTATACTAGTCGTAGCGCAGTGGACAATGCTGTGTAAACTACTTTAAGGATGATGGGTAAGACATCTTTAATAAATAAATTACTCATCATAATTTGCAAAGACAACAGATCCTTGACAGTACAGAACGAGATTCTTGTTCATCGAAAAAGTGTCCGCATCTCAATTTGTCCCACTAATGTTAATTCAAATGTGTGCCCGGACCTTCGCAAGCAGTCTAAATACTTAATCAATTACGTTGAACGTTACTGAAAATTTAGTCATGGATAATAACTTCCAGAATGCGATTAGAAAGATCAAACCTCTAGATTAAGAGTATGAGAAGATAACGCCGCCACCAACAGTGTTGCAACGCTTCTCTTAATAATTCACCGTCAGATACAATTCTTCCTAAACCTGGGTAGCCGGAGAAGCCCTGCTACATATAACTTCTTTTAAAAAAAGAGAATGACACAATCCCCCCAAAATAATACGCAGATAAGGAGTTTAAAGAGAGTGATTTCCTCCCGCCTCACCTGTCAAAAACCTTCTGGAAATCCATCTTCTAATCACGAGGAACTAGTTTCAGTTCTAAGATACCCAGGTCTGAATGTATATACATAAAACTCGGACAAAAGAAATGAGAATATGAAAACAACTACAGAATCAAAAGTGTTCAATACATATACAGTGAATCACTCTCCACATGTAAATGAGATCGGATAGCAATGTCAAACTGAGCGAGTCCTATTTGACAAACTACAGTTCACAACACATCTCACCTGTTCTTTAAAAAAAAAAAAAGGAAAAAAGAAAAGAAACATATCTCACAGTGATCCCAGAATGAAGCATTCCTAAAAACGGCTGGAACATGCTGGCAGAACCTAGCAGTGAAAAGCCTAATGTAGGGGACAATTACCCACTACCGTGCCGAATTAACGAGCACTTCGCTCTTGTCCTCATTTTCACTCGTAAGAAGCGGGCACCTGAAGCTAGGTTTGCAGTGGAGGCAAAGCATGATCAATAACTTTTTTTGCTCACATTGCACGTTGGGAAGGAACTGTGGTATAAACCTTGACAGTCAGTAAGAAGTGTTTACAGGAAGCAAAAACTCGAATTCCTACTTGTGATCAACCGGAGGGTAGACAGATAGTGACTCCGATCTCTGCCGTCCAAAGTACTTTCTACGCAATTCGTAATCCACTAGTCTAACATCCCCGCGGAACGGCTGGGTGTTAACTACAGAAGTAGTCAAAATTTCATTTCCAAATTCATCTATACCGTAGTTCGGCTTGTGCGAAAATGTACCTTGACGTTCCACATAGTGGTCCACGACCATCTTCAATTGGTTTGTATTAGCATGTTTTATACGTCTCGATTTTAATTCAGGAAACCTAGGCTGAATCTCAAAACATAAGATCAGCGAGCAAAAAACTCACGTCCAAATAATCAATGTAAAAACTGGAAACCAACCTTCTGCCTACGTTTCTTGTTGAACCTCTCCTGCTGTGCGCTAACATTGAGCATAAATCTTCGAGCTGCTTCGCACTTTTCACTATTACTCTCATCAAGGCAACGCAATACAACGATTAGCTGCAAAGTGGCCGCAAACCATGTTCTATACAATAAAATGAAAGCCTCAAGCAAGGAATCATTTGAAAGTCCTTTAAAAAGCTCTGACAGAAAATGTGGTAAGCGTCGAAAGAGTAATTTAAAATCTAGGTAATGAAAACTGAGATCGGACCAAATTTGCAGAAAAATCTGAACATTAATTAACCTTCATCTGCAAGTCAAGCTTTTCATTCTTGCATGCCTTATCTATTTCTAACCGGTCAAAAACTAAAACATGCTCGTCTGGTTGTCTCCTAAGCAACCAAGGGCCGTTACCATTGAAATCTCCTAAAAACCACGAAAATTTGTGGAATGTTTCTAAAAACCGTCTGAGGAAAGTTTTACAGCGCAAAACTTACCTTCAGCCGCTTTAGGGACTGGTGAAAGAGGGACTTTTGGCTTTTTTCTTTCGTTGTAAGTATCGGAAACTAAACCATTTTCGTGGGCTTCTAGCAAAAGCTTCATTATTTTTTCACGGGGCCTAAACAATGAGAAACCAGGCAGGCAATAAAAAAAACGAGCAAGTGCTACTAAGTGGTAAGCCACTAAAAGTCATGATAGAAAGCAATAAAAATTATAAAAACTAACGGCCTTAAACCCTGAGATTTATATATTTTATTAATCGATTCTACGGGACAATGTTCCGACAAACCTGGCGGGACCACAATATCCTCAATTCGAACCTCTATAAAACAGTGAAATGATAAGACAAAAACAAACTCAATTAACACAAACACAACACCACAAAAAAGACGTTAGGCACAATCCGCTTACGCGATTTTTTTGCTTCATTCGAACCCTGCTTTGCCTTTCTAAATACCTGTCTTCGCTGGCTTTGACTAGAAGGCTCTTCCCCTACTATTTTTGGTACCAGAGTTGCTAAAATCCATTTCTTTCACTCGAAAAGATTTTCTTGCTTTATTGCGTAAAGAACTGAATCTGTCTACAACAGCTGTTGGGAAAACCATGATGATAAATAAATACTGGCAATCCAAGTCTACTCGATGCAAATCAAGATAAAAATAAAAATTCAGAACGAACTTACTTCCACGAGTTGGATAAGGCAACTGCTGGTCTCCATGTACATATACACCCCCACAAAATGCAGGACAAGAAAACATTGTGTTAAACCAAACGTGACCAATTTCTTTTACCATTTCCTTTAAAAGAACTGAATTTAAAGGTGAGGAAATTGAAATTCGCTTATTCTCGACTCGGCAAGATTTTTAAAGACGTATTAGCACTGTGGTCTAATATGTGGCAAAAATAGCTGAAGGCGATCAAAAGAAAACATAAAAGTTCCACAAATCTTCCCAATTTAAATTTTGCAAGCTCAACCAGAAATATTCACTCCTATAGAAGCCGATTTTCTTTGAAGAAATCGGCTAATCAAATGCCGTAAAATGTTCTTTGCGGCTAAAACCATTTGGCTCCCACACAGCTTTTGCAAAAAATTTCCTCTAGCAACAACACCAAATAAAACAGATCGCAAACAACGTGGAAATAACAATTATTGGGATACACAAACTCTCCGTCAACAGCCTCCCTTCCTTTCTTCTCTCCACCCTCCAAGAAAAATTTTCCTTTCAGTGTTCATTTTTAGCACCCTTTTCCAAGACCAAGATTTAGCTTACGTTCCTTTATAACTTCATTGTTTTGTAGCAAAACCGTTGTGACACCCAAGCACAATTTCGTCACTGATGTTATCTTACATAAATCTGACGTCAAAGAAAAGATTAACAACTCTTTTCAAATCAACAAAAAACCCATGCTTCGGAAGTGAAGACTACCCCAGGAACACAACTAAATTCTAGAAGCCTCCCTATGCCACTAGTTGGAGCGCGCATCTCTGTTGGCACCAAAGTCACAAATGCTAAAACACCACTTTTCTTTTTCTAATAACAAGTTTCTTAAACAATAAAATAAGAAATAATACTTCACAAAAAATGCTGAGAAGTTTGTAAAAACTTCACCTTTCCAAAGTTGTCCAACCGTTTATTCAAATATACTTTCTTCCTAAGCATATTTACTTTCACATCACCTTCAACGAAAACATTTTGGTCACTTCTAAGCGTCCATCCATAACATCGCCTGCAAAAGACTAGAACGATCTACTCAGAAAAACAGTATCTAAAAAAAAAGAATTTTCAAAACATCATTTGTTTGAACCTTTACTAACTTCT